GAGTTCGCACGGTGCTTTGGTGACTTTGAAGCACAAAAAGAGAATTTCGAGCTGCTTCGCAACCCATTTATGTGGAAACTGCACCTGTGCAGATTCAGATGGAGCTGCAGTGTAATGGTACACTCAAGGCAAAGTACAACACTGAATGGCCCGCACAGTTTATTAGTTCCATTCCTGAAGCAATGCCCCAGCTCCGTCTACATGCGGCTCGAACCTTGTGTATGCTTTCATTTATTTTTTTTCGAGGGGTTTTGGCAGCATGTTCATATTTCTAACTTGCATAATTTTGACAGGATATATTTTTATGAAGAGCAAAATATTTAAAGTTAAAGTTTATTTTTTTAAGTTTATTTATTCTGGAATAATATTCCTGTCTGTTTTTATTCATATTTATGTTTAAAAAACATTGTTTTAGTGTGTTCAATAAATGTTTATCTTGTTTGGCCCGCAACCTAAAGTGTGCAATGAGTTTTGGCTGTAAGAAGTAAATGTGTAAAATTACAGAAATTAAAAGGTAAAGGGAGAGTCGTGCTCTATCCTAGCAAAGTTAGAACGAATAAAGTGTCAGACAGTCCTTAATGGGCTACAGAAAAAATAAAATACAGCTTTTAGAACAATAAATTAAATGTAACTAATGTACTACTGACCTACCAATTTCTGGAAGAAGAACTGAAAATGTGCACAAAAGCCCATCCTGTTATAAAGATATGCGATGGCATTTATGAGGGTATTACTCTGAGCTATGGCGCAGGTTGCACAGCAACACTGCAGTTAAACTGTTATATTGTAAACTATTGCACAGGGCAGTAACTGATTGTCAAGTTTTGCAAATGCTGTTGGAGTGATAAAAAAAAAAAAACAACGAACCACAATTTCAGGTAAAAAAATTTTAATTGTAGTTAGAATCTCAGATTAACAGTTAAATGTGGCCATGAATCATTCATGTTTTCTTAAACATTTGGTCATTTAATGTTAAAAATATTAAAATAAATGAGCCCAATTAAAGGCAACTGCAACTATTATGGGGAAAAACAAATAGAGAGTCAAAACAGCTCCACTGAACGTTTGGTTTTTTGTTTTGTTTTTTACTTTAATCTGGTAAATTAATTACTTTTTGAGAATTTTAAATGACTGGTCTCTACTTCACTGGTTGAATTATTTTACAAGAAAACTAAGTATCACCCTTCACAAATGACTCCATTACATCAGTGATGTGGAGCCTCGTAATTCACTCATAACATATAATTAAGGTTGTTAAACAGTTCAAGATACTGAACACAAAACATACAATTAGATTAATTCTAGAGAACACTTCACAATAATTTAGCACGACAGCAAATAGACAACCTGATGATAAGCATTTCATGTGTATGTGTGAGACAAACTAGTGGCTCTGGTATATTAATGGCCAACAAAGCATGGTGGATGACTCGTTTTAGTATTGAAGTACTTAATCCACCAACTAGTTGGTGGGTAAGCTACCAGGCTAACAGCTGTAGTTCAAGTCCATCCACAGGACAAGAGATCTACTGGAGAGGCAGCTGAATCCAATCATTTAACATCCACCATATTACCTAAGTGCCACCCCTAAACTGATTTCCCAGACTGTCATTTGCATATCACCTGCCACAGATTAGATTAATTTTCAAGGATGTGGTCTCACATCCTTTTGAGTTACCCTAAAACCTCTTCCAGTTATCTCTCTTTGACATTCTAGAAGACCAGACACTTAAGTAAAAAATCTGAAACCCTGAGTTTCTTGTAGAGTTTTGAAGAGAATTTCTGAAAAATCTCTGAACGTTTGAAGCTTTGCAGGTGGAGGACGGAAATAGGTATACCAATAAAGCTCAGTGTAAAGAACTCAGAGAAGATGTTGATATTCTTCCCTCCACAGCTCATCCTGTTTGGAAGCAGGAACTACTTACTGGCTCCTTTCACCTCTGCTGACCAAGAACAAAAGTATCATTCAGTTAAAAATGGATTGAGGGCACCAGTGGTGAAGTCGGCAAGCTCTACCAGCAGAGTACAAGACCCATGACGCCACCCCTCCATTCCCCTCCCAAGTCTCAGGCACCCTCACGCTATGAAAGGACCTAACATTACTGAGATATCAGCTCTAACAATGCCTCTATGCTTGCTTAAAATACACACGTTTGTGCAGACACTGTAGCAAAAGAGAAACTTATGTGGACACTCTGTGACAGGTACACTACAAGAGTGTTTGCCTTGTCACTGGCTGAGGGGCCTCTTCTTCCATCTGTTTTTCTGTGACAGGCCTGGTTCCATTATAGAAGCCAAAACTCAAGCCCCTGTGGGCTGAAGGTAAGAGTCCACGCCAACAATGTCATATGATTTATTGTAAAAATGCGTTGTCTCCCATTACTACGTTTATTTTTTCCTTCATGACAACGATACACTATTCCACAACATTGAGATCATTTCCTTACCTTTGGGCGCTGAATCTGCTGCTGTGAGCGAGCACACTTGTGTTTGTTTCTTCACACACCTTCTTTCCTGATGCTGGAACCCACCAGCCTGGATATAAAAGGTTCTACTTTTGGAGTGTTTCTGATTCTAAACACATGATAAACAAATGGCCCTTACTGTAGTGACAAAACGCTCATATGAGACATTTCCTTTACACTTCAGCGGGCCATTGTGGGTGCATTAGCCCCGAGAAAAGGAGGCCTTGCAGCTGCAATATGTCTCACTAATCCATCATGATCCCTAACCCCCCCTTGCTCCACATACAAAAGACGGAGGGAGTAAGAGAGGACAACTAAAGTTCAAGACACCAGGAAGGGAAAAAAAGAGAGGGGGACAAGCAACCTTTCACATACTTTAAGTCTCAAATGAATACATTAAGCGGTTTAAAATGTGTCACAGAGCATTTAGATTGCTATGAGTAGGACAAACTATGAGAACCAAAGACACCACAAGCTCGCAAACAACACAGTGTTTTCCTTTTTGGCATAAAACTAGCCAACAGAGTAGCATGGAGAGCAGCAGTGTTTTTCTGTGAAAACACTGCACCATATTGTAATTCAGATGTCATAATATAGTGGTGAACCTTTTATTTTGTTTTTACCCAGAGGAGCAAGTATGCCGAGAGGTTCAGCTGTAAGCCTCATGCGCCATGCAACCATTTCCCCTCTGTTTAGTTCACCTCACACCTTCAACAATGGAAATTTCAAGTGGTACACTGTCCTGGTGCAGCAGGGCTTTGGCCGCCATTCTTAGAAGGCAGCAAAGCAGCACAAAGGTTTCAACAAACAAGCCTCTACACTTTTCTGAAAATCGCATGCACTTTTGCACATTTAACAAGCCCAAACTCAAAATGGCTGTTCGCATGTGTGAAGCTCGAGTGTGTTTTTCACGCGGGAACTGGCAGAGTCAGTGACTAAAGAGTTACTTTAGTTTGTGATTACCCAGAAGTTGTGACACAAACTCTTTCTTAGTGGGCCAGTCATCAACTGTATCTGCACTGCTCCATAAAAGACCAAACCTACCTGGTCTCTATTTGCTCAACTGTTGTAAAAATGAGTGCAGCAGTTAAACATAGCCAGACTTGCTGTGAGAATGTGATAAAGGAACAGGCTTGACTCCTTATTTTATTGTTTCAATCTTACAGTAGAGGGAACAAGACACTGCTGGCTACCATCCATGCATTACTCACCCAAATCTAGCCCTATTTGTGATCACAGCACTTTGGTGCATTACTCGGTGATTCAGTCATTTTACCCACAAAAACCTTTAGAGAAACAGTTGGATAAGTTGTGGCTTTACCTGGAGGATTTATTTTAAATATATTTGTCATACTTGTGTGTACACGTCAGGAGCTAAACCAATTGTTTAAATATAATATTTCCACATAGACTGTCCATGCAGTCTGCACAGATTACAAAAGACAGAGAGTAAGACGGAGGTTACCCATGGTTCAGGTAAAGCATAAATCAAGAGAAACTAACTGTATTTGGCCCCTAAAAGGACAGTGGTTTTGTAGCGCTTTTCTACTCAATTTGAACACTCTAAGTGCTTTCTTACAACAAGCCTCATTCACCCATTCATACAAACACTTTTAACCCAACATTCACCCCTGACTGATGCATCGGGGTAACTCTGGATTCAGTATTTTGTGGGATCCAGGGATCGAACCACAAAACCTTCCAATTTACCTCCTGAGCCACAGCCACCCCCCTGGAGAACATTTCATTGATCATGGCAAAAGTCAGACATCACCGAGTTCAAATGCACTTTAAAAAGACTTCCTAAAGCTGGGCAGCATTTAACCATAACAATCGCAAATAGGTAAATATGTGTATTTCATTTCTTTGCAGTGTGTTTTCCTTTTTCCTTTATGTTGTCATGCACCATAGATGACAGTTTTGCATTAGATCAAGTATTGCAGAATCAATGTATCGTGAGAAGCTTCATAGTAGCATCATACATCTTTCACTTCTCAGTGTCTACTGCTTTCACTCTATGATTAATAGCAGATATTTTCTCATAAGGAACCACTTTTAGTGGCAAACCAAGCAAAAAGTTTCAACCTGTGCTTAAAAATGACTTTATTCACCTTTTCTGAAAACAGCTTATGCAGATCCATCTATCAGCTGATTCCCTGTTTTAAATAATAACTGATAATCTAGTTAGTTATTAGCTGCAATCATTACACATGTCATTACAACATTAATGGAGGCTGTGCTGCTAAACTGATGCTATAATAGTGATAAACCCTGAAGATTTAGCTGTGTATAGTTTGTTTCTGAACTACGCCAAGCTTTTGAGTGTTGTGATGCATTAGATAACAGGTCAGCCTTTGTAAGTCTGAAATCCTAACATCCACGGCAGGACATTCCCTCCATCTGCACTAAGTTTACCCTGTGATGTTCAATGGCCATCACTCACTTACGTCGTAAACACAGTTCAGTAAACGATGAGGCAGTTTTTAAGTGTGCAAATAGCTTGTGTTTCATCATAGATGCTTGGTTGTCACTTACAGGTAGTAGGTGAAAGTACTGAGCCCGGTTGGGACGGCGGTCAGCCCTCTCCCGGAGCAGTCTGCACCCCCATCTTCATCGCAGCTGCATGAGAGCGAACAAACGGCCGTCGACTGCCCTTGACCGGTGGCACCGGGGCGAAGCAAACACCACAAACAGACCCAAAACAGATCCACACGCATTTTCTCCTCTTCGGTTCAGGTGGCAGCGACGGGAGACGGGGGGGAGAAGTGGGGCCTTTGTTTGCGGTTTAATCTACTCCGGACGTCGTCTTCTTCTCATGTGGTTTGGTAGGTTGTGAACCATGAAGAGGTGAAGCCTAACCGACGCTTTTCAAAACAAAACCCCAGCGGTTCAAACACTTCATACATTCACAACCCCGACCACACAAAACAAAAAGCAAAAAAATGTACCCACAAAAGCGTTTAGCTAGCTCAAAACACAAACACTGCCTTCGAAGACGGCCAGTTTACCTTGGTGGGAAACATTTCTCAACCCGTGTGTCGTATTAGTCCGTGAAAATAAAAGTAGCTCTGCTGGCGACAGGAGCGGTAGCGTACCTTGCGTTTTTTTTGCGTTTTCGCTGTCCCATTAAATAACCCCCCTCTGTAAAAGAAAAGAAGAAGAAAAACACTAGCAGTGCTTGTTAGTGCGTCGCTGAAAGGCTGGTCCGGGGGGCAGTCAGGTCTTCAGCTAAACATAGCGGACGTTTGCGTCCCGGTTTGTTTCCTTGCGGGAGATCACCGTCAGTTTTCAGCCATTCCTCACGTTCCTCTCCTCTGCTCCTGACATCAACAGCATGCTTGTAGCTCGGCAGGCACCCTACCGGACAACCTGCAGCACTGGGCCCGGCCTGTGTAACACTGAAACCTGCACCACCGCATCAGGCAGCCAACCACTGCACACTCCCCCACTACACACACACACACACACAAAGGTCAGGTAAAAGTGCTCACATATGCATGGAGGACCAGCACGGCTGCAAATTTTCTTGCATGATTGTGCTGCTGTGCATAGCCAGCTGCTTCTTCAGCCTTTCAATTGCATATAAGCATGAAAACTTCTCAAGAGTAAAGTCCACAATATTTGCAAAATATTGTGTTTATAGCACAGTAACACATCCAGGTGCAGTCTTTTACATAATATATTTATTATGTAAGATTTTTATCTTGGATGTAACAGGTAATGTAGTGAAAGTATGTGATTTACCAAAATGGGAATAAGCACATGTCATTCTGCTTCAACTACTTTACACTTTAAATGTAGTGACTGGGCACCAGTAGTTTTGCTCACTAATCTGCCCTGACAGATAATTGACTAGGTGTGTACTTGTCAAAGTAGATTTACTACGTACAGAGTTCAGTTGAGATTGCATTATACATGCATGGATGAGCCAGGTAACTGTGCATGCAGTGGAGGATGTCAATAAATGTAGATATCATTGTAAACATATAGCGAGAATTAGTTTCAAATCATATGACAACAATCACACATAAATGTATTTTTTTAAAGTGTGCATGTTTTTTCTTTCAAACCTCAGAAATATGACGATTAAGGGAAAACTAATACTGTGAAGGCAGGGTCAAAGACTCCTTGTTTTAAAGGGATTACATATTGTTGTTTTTAGGGTTATTTTTTTATCATCTTGTCTGTTAAATGTGCAAGAGACAGGAAAGCACTCTAACGAAGCATAAATCAACAACTCCCATCAAAGAGCTTTGAGCAAGAAAACAGTAAACCGCCAACAGCTCCTGCCAAACTGTTTTGCAGACCACAGCTTTTCCCTGAAGTGCTTTGTGTGTCTGTGTGTCATTAAAATGTGGGCATGTTGTAAATAACTAATCAGCTAGACTTGGCCTGCTGAATTTGGGAAAAACTACAATTCTAAAGAATAAGGCTAATAGTGAAATTTAACATTTTAATGACCAAGTGAGTTTCAAATGATTTACTGCCTGTGTTAGGTTTTAATGCTTACACAAAGTGCGATCAAAAAGTTTCACAACTGTGAAAAATAAAAAGCAGAAACTATAGGTACATTTCATGAGTCCATTATCCCTCTTAAAGGATATTCTTATGAAGTGTGGCGTCTCCAGCACCCTTGTTATGTTTTGAATCGCACCCTGGATCACACTGTAGTGATGTGTTGGTCACGAACGAAACAGAGCAGGATCTTTGAAGTGACCGACAAAATCCGTGGGTTTTTTTTTTTTCTTTCTCTCACCCTCTCTCTGGCACTTTTTTCCCGCTTCACTCCGCATGTGAGCCTTGTGCTTTGCGCTGGGAAGAGGGGGGAGGGGCGGTAGTTACACTCAGTAGCACAGGAACAGAGCCAGAGGGAGAGAGAGAGAAAGAGAGCCAGGGACAACAACGACATTAGAAAGGTATAGTAATCATCCACAACTATTTTCAGTTGCAGATGATAAAGGATTCAGAAAGTTTATTCATGCAGGCCCATATGACAGAGAATATGCATCTACTTTTTGTTTTCATATTTTAATTTATATTTAATTGTGTTGTGGCTTGCAGTGTTTTGTGTTGTTTCACTTTAAATTTGTTTAAAAGAAAAAAACTGAAAATTTAAATAGCTAAAAGTTGAAATGTGAATAGTTGGTTTTTGTATAATATGATTTTATTTATTACATTTTATGTGAAGTGAATAAATAAAAGTATATTTACGGTGGCCCCTACAGACAAAGCACATACAAACTTCAAAACACGTACGAACTCTGAAACACGTACAAAAGACAACAGAAGTGCTTCAGAATGCTAGGCGCAGTGTTGAGCTTTTGTTACACAAGCCAGCAAGTACCAACAACCGCATTTGGTATGTGGTAGTAACAGGTAAATGAACTTTTTTTTTTTAATTATTTGAATATATATGAGTGCTTGTGTATAAATACACAAATAATACACATATGCTTTCAATTGTGTGATTTAAGTGATCTAGGTAGCTCTGTTTTGGAAGTTCAGTTCATGCTAGAAATGTGTTTTGGAATTTGTACGTGCTTTTTGGAGTTTGTACATGTTTTGTCTCTAGGGGCCACCGCATATATTTATATATAAACATATATAAATAAAACCACTTTTTTTTACATTAGTAATTTCTTTTAAGCATAATTTTATATTATTGTTAATAATAAATTAATTAAAGCGACACAACAACCTGAAGAGCCAGTTCGGAGTCGAAAGAGCTCTTTTTAGAGAACCGGCTGTTCTCTAAAAAGAGCCGGAAATCCCATCACTATCGCACTGACCATTTGCACCTCAACACTGAATTCTGCATGAATTTCAATTTGGGGAAGAGGACTAAGTCTCAGAGAATGCCATCTGGTGAGTTAAGTAATGGTATAGACTGGGACAGTAACTGTAAAGTTACACAGGTTATCCAGATGAAATTCAACTTATCAGGGGGAACTTTTCTGTTGTAAATATATTCTAAATTGCCCTTAAGTCTGGTAAGGCATGGTCTTGCATTTGTAATATAGGCACTTTATGTGTTTTTGTAAAAGTGCATTCAACAGCTTTTTTCTTCTTATTT